TGTTCCTTCTGTAATAAGTTATATTGCCACCAAAAAAAATTTACTTATTAAATATTTTAGTGGGAAGTTCAAGATTATACCACTTTGCTTAGATTGCACATAGTAGCTAATTCTGAAACAAGCAAAGTTCTGAAATATATTTTACTTACCCTCTTCACAATGCTGATATTAGAGTCAAAGTTAGATAAATAATATATTTTTTAAAAATTTCAAAAATAATTTAAAGTGAGCACAGAAGGAAAGAAAAGAATAGAAGAGGCATATATTATAGAGAAAAATTTATAACTATTCATTGTCATTTAATATATTTCTGATTACAGTTATCTTGATCTTGAGCGTATAATTTTTTTAACTTTTTATTTTAAAGTTGTAGGGTACAATTCAGGGTTAAGTATACAAATGTTCATTATGTAGGTACCCTTGTTGATGAGGTGTGCCCTCCCTCCCCTGGTGGATCCCACTACCGCCAATCCTGCCTTCCCCCTAGCAATTTCCCACTACTAACAATCCTTATCTTATAGTATTATGATAATTGTTCTAGGTCCACTTATAAGTGAGAACATGTGATACTCAGTTTTTTATTTCTGCGATGGTAGATCACTCAGTATTATAGACGCTAAGTCCATCCAAGTTACTGCGAAGTTCATAATTTTGTCCTGCTTTATGGCTGCGTAATATTCCATCATGTAAATGTACCACATTTAAAAAATCCAGTCCTCTTTCAGTGGGTAACACGGTTGGTTCCATGTTCTTGCTATTGTGAACAATGCTGCAATAAACATGCATATGGAGGTGTCTTTTTCATAAAGTGATATGAGTTCTTCTGGGTATATTCCCAGTAGGGGGATTGTGGAGTCCTCTGGAAAGTGGATTTTTAGACCTTTTAGGAATCACCAAACTGTTTTCCACAGGGGTTGTACTAGTTTACACTCCCACCAACAGTGTAGAAGTGTTCCCTTTTCCCCGCAGTCTCTCCAGCACCTGTTGTTTTTTGAGTTATTGATGATGGCCATCCTGACTGGAGTTAGGTGGTATCTCAGTGTGGTTTTAGTTTGCATTTCTCTGATGACTAGTGAGGCTGAGCATTTTTTCATGTGTCTGTTGGCTGCTCATATGTCTTCTTTTGAGAAGTGCCTATTCATATCTTTTGCCCACTTTGTAAAGGGGCTGTTTGTTTTGTTCTTTTCAGCACATTTGAGTTCCTTGTAGATCCTAGATGTTGGGCCTTTGTCAGATATACAGTTGGCAAATATTTTTTCCCAGTCTGTGAGCTGTCTCCCTGCTCTCTTGATGGTTTCTTTGGCTTTGTAGAAGCTTGTCAGTTGGATGAGGTCCCACTTGTCTATCTTATCTCTTATGGCATGGGCACTTGGGTTTTTGATCAGGAACTGGTTGCCAGTTGCAATTTCCATAAGTATATCTCCTGCATTTTCTTTTTTTTTTTTTTTTTTTTTATTTTTTAATTAATCAGTATTTTTATTATAGTTTTGTGGGGTACAGTTAAGGATTAGGTGTACAATTACGTTTCATTCAGACACCCTGTTGATAAGAGAA